GTTTGTCTGCAGGTACTACAATTTCCTCCTACAGACTATCCTGTGATGGACTGGAGATCTGTCCAGGGTGTCCACCGCCTCTCGCACAGTGATTGCAGGACATGGGCACTGGCGACCCCCGTGACCCAAAAAGGAAGAAGCGGGTAAAGATAATGGATGGATGTGGTAGTAGCTGAGAGTCATTCCCAACACATACTCTGAACGTGACATCTTGAGATAACGCATGAGACTGTGCATCTTCAATGTCTGAGCAAAACAGCCTCTCAGCAGGGGCGATTCTAGAATCTGCTCTTTAGGGGTGCTTAGCCCCCAGTGCTGACAATGACTCTTGACTTCAACAGTGCAGTGGTCATTGGCATCAGCAGTGTGTGTGTGTGTGTGTGTGTGTGTGGGGGGGGGTTCCTCCTCCAGAAAATTTTAAATAGATGTGAATGAATGAAATCAGTTTAGTTAACTGATCATAACAATGACTAAACTTATGTAAGCAGAAATTACAACATATATCTATATTTAAAACACACAACACAACTAGCTTCAAGCATTAGCCTTTAATTTAACCATTAAACATACAATGTAATTATAAAAAAATGGAGGATTTACCTGCAGTTACCTTCGTACAGATGAACACGTGGTACTTCCTGTTTATGTTGTATTCAGCTGATCATGTCGCCCACAGGCCTTTATCATCTTTTACATTTCTCCAGACTCCGTTTAGGTTTTTCAACATTTATTAAACTGTGTTACATCTTGTAAACTCTCAGGGTACCGCTGTCTGAATTGTGTTCTCAGCTGACATTTTTTCTGATGATTTTTCATGAAATCCCTCTGACCGCAACATTTGTACCCGTAATGCAAAACGTGGAGCTCCTGCAGGTAAGGGGCGTTACACTTCCGGGACAAATTGAGATCGCTGATTGGTCGGTTGATGACAAGCCTGGATTGATTGACAGGCGGCATCAAGGATCTGACTTGAGCAGAAAAAAAATCACAGATTTTACTGGACCGTTTTGTACGGTCATCATTTATTTCATATTTATTCCAAATTCATTAAATATTTTGGTGAATCTAAGGTTTGAGAACTGAGTTTCTTTACACAATCCTAATGATGGTTTCTTTATTTTTCAGGGGTGCTGAGTTAAAACTGTGTTTGAGCACCCCTAAAGAGGCTAAAATCACCTCTGAGTTGGTTTTATGCTAAAAAAATGACAAAGTCTAGAACTAAAAGGCGAAGGACAATCTAATTTCTTCAGGGCATTTAACTTATAATAAAGTATTGGAAAGAAATGTCAAAAATTTGGGACATCTGATTGGTAGCTGTGGGGCTTTTTTAAAATCTGCAATGAGACACAGACTCAAATAACTTTGAAGTGCAGAATGAAAGAAAAAAAAAAAGCTTATGCAACATCTTTGTTCCTGTCTCAAAAACTTTCAGTCATGCATTTCTATCAAAATCAGATTGTGTTTTTAAACTCCCAATTGTGCTCAAACATGCAACCAATCCAAACCGCACGGTTCCAGGATGACTTCCAGGTGCCAGGCGGAGGTGAGGCGTTAACGCTCCTGCTTTCTGAGAATAAAAAGCACGTCTTAGAACGCAACTGTGAGAATAAAGGACAATCTGTTCTGAGCTGCACGTTTCTTTATAGCATCTCTGGAGCTGCAGCTTTTAACGAGAAGCAGCAGCGGCCTCACCTCCACTTCTGTCTGAGCTCAACACATCCAGTACAGAGTGGATTTTGATTGTGCGATTTGTTTTCGGGAACATTAGTTAGCAGCAGACTAAACACCATGCACGCTCCAACTCATTTGAAGTCATTTGAAGTGGCGGGCACTGCTGGCCCAATAGACAGCTGCAGAAATAAACACCATAATTATTAAAGGTGGAAAGAGATGAGGCGGCGCCATGGTTAATGCCATGGGGAAGGATTTGTGACCTCATCGCTGCATCAACAATAAAATAAGACAAGACTTTGGATGTGCTACAATCATTTTCTGTCAGCCTCAAAGTTAAAGCTGCAGATGTGTAGGTGGAGTTAATGTCCTGACAGAGAGAGTTCAAAAGAGACAACAATAATAGGCAGAAATACAGACTTAAGGTTTGGTTGAGTAAACAAGGCTGATTACAAAAACAAAGATGGCTTCCAGTCCAGGGTCTGAGCTGAAGTTTCAGGCACTTCTTCCTCTGCTGGACACTAAAATGATGCTGCTGTTTGCTGCAAAACTCAAAACAATAAAACTCTGAGTACTGCACACAAAACTATTGGGGATGCACAATATTGGATTTTTGGCCGATATGCCAATATGTTAAAACGTATTTGGCCGATAACCGATACAAATACCGATATTTTGTTCCCCTAGACCTACTTACAGAGACTACATAGCTTTATCTAGTGTAATGAAAATACTAGATTATTCTGCATGGTCTTTGTCAGTTTGGCCTGCTACCAGATGTAGATGCCAAAAAGGAGCTGACAATGATGTAACACTTCAACTTGGACTATATTTAAAGTCAAATTTATTCATGACATTTACTCTCTCTAACACAATGACAACACTTGAACAGTGCAAATTTTCACAAATTTAAACTCAACCTGTTCACAAGTGACAAGTGAAAAGCGCATAAGTAGTTGAGCTTTAATAGATATACTTGACAGTTTCTTAAATTAAAAATCAATTTAAAACAGAAACCTTTTATATTGGCGAGTTGTTTTGATGGAATGGCTGATATAGATATTTAAATTTATTGCTAATATGGGCTGATACCGAAACCACACAGATAATATCGTTCATCCCTAAAAACCATAAATCTTTATAAGAAGCTACCCTTAAAATAATGACGAGAGAATGAAGCCACAAAGATAAATAACCCCAAATTGTTCAAGTAAACAACAAAATTGGAAGACTGCGTCACCACACAGACAAAAAGTTGAATAAGGGAGCTGCGGCCTCTTTTCTTTGGACGACAGAAACAACCACGGCTGTAATTATCCCGTTTCTAAGACAGAAAATTACAGTCTGAAAAGTTTAGTTACGTTTGTTTAAAAATGGCATCGTCTTTCTGCAAGAAACACAAAAGCCGAGGATAAAAGGAGCTGAAATGACACATTATTAGTAACAAATACAAGACGGAGCCAGAACTCGGATCCCCTTCATTAAAAAATAATCACGGTTCCTGGAATAACACGATCGCGCTCTCTATAAAAAAGAATTCAGAAATAATGTCAGTGAGCAACTCTTGAAAATCATCTTTGGTAAAAAGAAATAATCACTTTTATCACTGACACGTTTGTTCTTCGAGGAGGAGACATTCTAGTGTGCAACAGATAAAAACATTTATTTAAAGCCCCTGAATCAAAGAAGCGCAGCTGTAGATGTTGCAAGCGTAAAGAAAGGCAACATTCAGAGGTCAATCTTTTGTGTGGCTGTATTTAAGTCACGTGTATTATACAGTACATGTATGCTGGTGTACAGACAAGCAATATAAAATGAGTGAGAATTATCAAAAGAATACAAAGAACAGCATTTACAAAAGCTTATTTCAAGTACCTCTAACTTCATCCTTCAGTCCTCTGGAGAATTTGAAAGCATCTGTACAAAATGTACAAGAGTTGTATCTCACGTCGGCCATAACCGTCACCTCTGGTGCTTAAATTTAAACAAAAAATGTTTTTTAAACAGATTTAACAGAAAAAAACAACAACTTTATACAAGTCTTCTACAACTGAGCTGGTTTTTAGACACCAGTGCTAATGTGGTTTTACAGAAGCTTCCATTTAAAGACTGCAGTCTGACACAAGCTCCCAGTTTAAGACTTGATGAAATGTGGAAGAACTGCCAGTGAAGAAAGAGACGGTTTCCTGTTATGACCTACGAGTCAGCACGATGTGATTACAACGCGTTTTAATATTTGAATAAAATCTCATTCGTGGTGACGGAAAGCGTTCCCTTTGATAATGACTGGTCTGTAAATTCATTTTTACTTTCAGGATCCATCACTGTGGAGCTAAAAAAAAGGGAATGGGGGATAAAGCACTGGCAACATTTATGGATCTGTAGAAAAGAGCCGTTTATGCTGATGGTCCTCAATGGTTCCCAGCTCTGGTCCTTGAGGAACACCATCCTGCATGTTTTAGTTGTTCCCCTGCTTTGACACACCTGATTTGAATAAAAGGGTGATTTCATGCAGAACTTGAAGTAATCAAATCACTGAAACAGGTGTGATGGAGCAGGGAAACAAGTAAAACATGCAGGATGGTGTTCCTCAAGGACTAGTGTTGGGAACCACTGCTATAGAACATTAAAACACTGTAGCTTTGTCTGATTCAACATTTGTCTGCATTTCTGAAGCTGCTTTAAGTTTTCCATCTTGTGTTGCCTAAAATAAAAAAAATAAAAAAATCAAGACGTGTTTATTAGCAAAGTGTTTAGAAATTATGGACTCATAAAATGTTTTTTTTCTGGTGTTCTGAAACAATTAATCCATGAATCTGAATCAGAAAAACGAGCTTTCCCAAATGTTCTGATGACACAAACCACACGGTGTAATACTTGAAAGTCTAATCATTTAAGATATCAATTAAAGCAACTAAACAAGCATAAAAAAACCCACTTTAAATCAACATTTTAAAATTACAGATGCACTGATAACAGGTGCACAAGACAGTGCAAATAAGTAAAAGCATTTAGAACAGGGTTATTCAACTAAATTGCTCAGGGGGCCACAGTTACTAAAAGCTAAGAACCCAGGGTCCGGACATCCAGCAGTTATTGTCATTAAGTTTGTTTGTTTGTTTAATGATTTAAAATCTAGTTTTATTTAAAAATGAACACATTTGTGCGCTGAACTGCGCTCACCCGTGGGCCTGATTTGGCCCCTGGGCCACCAGTTGAATAACCCTGGTGTAGAGTTTCTAAAGGAATAAACAGAAGCTGAAATCCAACAGAAGACAGGAAGAAAAAGATCATTAATCATCGGTCAGGGACTTGTTTTTACAGATTGGACGCAGCGCTTATATATTTTAAAAGAAATTATCTTTGACTGTAAAGTAGTCACATGAGAAACTGATGAACCTTTTTTTTTTTTTTACATTCAGAGTTTGTCTTAAAACCTTTAAATTGGCTTCAACCTTGTACCATTCGCCTGCTCTAAGAGGTCCAACTGAAAAGCTTAAAAAAATAGATCCGAGTGCTTGTAGTTGTCGACAAAACCTTCAGATGGTGATGAGAAGGAGCTTCAGCTGCATCCGAGGCTTTAACGCAGATGCTCCTGCGTGACGCTGGAGGGAAAACTCAACCTTGTTCCAGGACTTTGTTTTTTTTTTTTAAACTTGCATCAAGATGGAGTCAGCATGACCTCTGCAGCGTGGTGCGTGTCAGGGTTTCTGCGGGTCGTACGGGTAGCGGTTTAGTTTGTCCGGATCGTTTGAGGCCATGTGGGTGAAATCTTGGAAGATGTCCTGGTAGGTTTCATCTCCTGGGAAGACAAGGAAAACGGACGTCAGTAACAGCAGAATCACAAAAAGATCTGCAGCTGCTGTAACTAATCAGAAAAAAAGAATCTATAAAATATATTTCAGGAAGAAATAGGATAAAACATTCAGAGTTTGGAGGATCATGCAGACAAAGTGTCATCAGCGTCAACAAGAATTTTAAAAAAAGGTAAAAAGTTACCTGTCGGAGCGCTGGCGTGGCTCGAAATACGAAACAGAACAACGCAGAGCAGCAAAGAAGAACAGAACACGTAAAAGAGCTGGCGAGGAAACAGGAAATCCACTCAGAAAGAAAAGCCCACAGACGTCTGGTTTCATCAACAACTGTATTGCTTTTAAAGTGCAGAAGTTTATGTACAAAAATACAGCTGTGTTCGCCTCGGCACCCCAAAGAAAAGAACGAGAACAGAAGAAAAGGCACAGACTCTGGGGAGGAGAGCGAGGGATGAAAAGCAAAGTACAAAACGGAGAACATGACAGCAGAAGAGGATGAGATGAATACGTTACAGAGAAGGAAGAGCATTCACTGACCAGTGGTTCTCAATCTGGACGAGCTTTAGGAAACAATCTCTTTATTTTACTGATTTTTAAAAATCACATAGAAGTCATTTAGTTGTTTAAAAGACTAAAAATATTTCTGAAGCAACCCTGAGATTAAAAACCACTGCTCTGCATGTCTACTCATCAAACCGCTGAATCAAAAGACCAATTCAAATCAATCAATCAATCAATAAAGAGGTGGCAAAGTTCTCTGGTACATTCATTCCACCTGAACATCTGCCCTCGTTCAGCAGCTGATTGGAGATAAACACCAAGTCTTCCTCTCTCTAACAGAAGACACAAAGAGCCTCTCACACAAACATGAAGCTGCTGCTTGAAACAAAAACTTCCCTTAAACACGTTCACTGCAGCTTCTGATGCACAGTAAATCTGTAAAATAACGACTGTGAGCAGAAGTGGTTTTCATCTCCTTTTTAGTCATTTAAGTCCAGATTCCACTTTGTAAAACAAATACGAGTCAGCAGCACGAACAGATATGAGATGTTAGTGCGCCCTCTTGAGGTTAGCACGAGTACACAACACCTGGGGGGGGGGGGGGGGTCATAATGCTGTAAGAATCAGGTCCCTTCAGTTTACTTAACCGTGCACTCAAATTAAAAATGTATTAAATTTATTATTACAGTATGCGAGTGTGGATTTTCTGTACATCCTGATTGTCTACAGTCCCTCGACCCTCGTCCGACTTTTGGTTTTGTGTTCTCGTCTTTTACCCTGTGCAAACTGAAAACAAAATCAAGCACAACACCTGCTGCACCCTGACTCCAGTGTTACTGTGACTCGTCAGGGTGATGTTTACGATGACTAAAAACAAGTAAAAAGTACATTTCTTTCGGCTGCTCCGTTCTTCAGGGGTTGCTACAGAGAGTGAACTCGCATAAAAGATTTAGCAATTGTTTTACGCCCGAGGTCCTTCCTGACGTGGCCTGGACTCAAACTCGCAACCTCAAGAACTGCTAGACCACAGCCCCTAACTAAAGTCAAGTCCAGAAGCCAAAGATAAAACCACAGACGCTCACTAGTGGCTGGATATAGTGTTTCCCCTGCCATTACACAAGCGGGGTGCCCCGCCCCATCAAAGAACAGAGCGCCCTGCCTACCGAACCACCAACCCCACCCACCGTTGACAACTGTTGGTATTGATGCAGCGCGGGGCGCAATACAAACGTGCTAGCAAAAACGCTACTGACGTACTTCTCTGCTTTGCATACCCCACCATCGAAAACCAGCTGCAACGTAGCGCTAAGCTAGCAACAACACAGACGTGACTCCGCCTTGTCGACCCCCACCCCAATAAAAACCGGCAGCAACGTAGTGCTAAGCTAGCAGGCGGCAACCCAGTCGACAAAAATAAAATACAACGAGCGAAACACAGATAAAGCACCATTTTTAAGAACAAACGGGACATTTTCTTGTTTTTCACTTTTTTTGTTGTTTTTGCCTTTTACATGTTCAAATATGCATTTTTATACACTTAGCTTTAATTAGTTATTTGAGGCTTAAAAAAGTACCATGATGCACTGAGATGATTGTGTTCCAAAAACACATGGCAGCACGCACCCCCCCCCCCCCCATTGGAGTTATTTATTTTTATTTCTGCTGTGAATTTGTGCGAACAGTTTTGTAAACTGATGGACCAAGTTCTGAATTTCTACCTGTAATCCTCAGGGTGCTGTAAGAACGGCCTCATCACTCAATAACTGCAGTCACTTTTACATTTGTAGCCGGGGGCGCCGCTCCGCTTCCTACAACCATTTATTCAAAGTGCCTCGAAGCCCTCGTCATGATTAGAGGCAGGATGAGATGAAACTCAGTCAGCAGCATGCTCATCTCATCCCACATGCTCCCAGAAAATCTAGACTTATGTGTGTTTAAAGCTCACATTTGATTCACCTACACAGAAAACAGAAGTAAAAACAAAGTTTTTCACAGATACATCTGTTTCTGTACAGAAATCCAGTAACATTCCTGACAATCACTGCTGCGGCACTGAAAGGCCCTTCGTCTTACAATTTTGGATTTCTTGTGATTTCGAGCAACAAGCAAGCACACGTAACTGACTATAACCAAGACACAAAATCTTCATACGCAAAAGTGAAAACGAGCGAACAGAAAACCACAAGGAGTCGTCGTGTCACTCATCCCCGTGCAGCCAGTCTCCATCTGCTCTAAACTCTGCTTACTGAGTCAAACACATATGAATCATTTACAGCAAGTAAACTACAGTACAGATCCTAGAGTTAATTTATAAAAGAAAAAAAACCCTCTACAATATTTTTTTTTGCAGACCACATATGTAAAAACAGCAAGATGCATCCAGTTTGAACAATAAAACAAGTAAACAGGCCCTGAAGGAAATTAAGACTTCAAATTAGAACCATACAGATACAGAAAATGTACAGAAGTTGCATAACCATCGACAGGAATGTGCATATTATTTGACAAGTCTATTGAAAATGAATGATAAGAGCTTATAGATAAAACATGTTTTGTATAATTCAGAATTCTGGATTATAATAATAATAATTATTATTGCTGTAAAACTGGTGGATATAAGAGTCTCTGAGGTCTGGGCGTCACTAAATACTAGTGGCAGTTACTATTAGATCAGATTATTTTCTACCAGCTGGTATAATATACATAAATATCTTTAAAACAAAGAAATATATAATATCTAAACTTAAAAAAATAAAGACGGTGACTGTTTCTTTAGGTTTTGTGCTACAACACAAAAAGTAACAGTCACGTGAAGGAAAAGCTGCACCACTTTGGAACACATCTTTTCATTATAGATCAGATTCGATGGCTTTTCATGTTTACATTGCACACCTGATGCTGAACTACAACTTAGTGCAGCAGCTGGAAGAACCATCAGACTGAGCAGCACGCAGGACTCAGACCAGCTTCAGGTCAGTCGTTACAATCAAGGGAATGGGGAGTCTCTTTAAGAAAACTTGTGCCAATTTGTGAGTTTCATCTAATCTGCTGCTTTTACTGAACATAATCCTGCTGTGCAACACAAACGTTCTGTCTCTAATCAGACTCATCCAGCTGCAGGCTAATAAACTCCTGCATGCACTTTCTGTACTGCATCTCGGTGGGGCTGTTGGAGTTATATTGACCTGATGGGTTGTAGGGCCCCTCCGCCTCCCGCATCTCCTCGTTCATCTTTGCCAATCGCAGCCTGAAATTTGAAGAAAGAAAACAGGAAGTTACAGGCAGACGCAAAAATGAAACAGACCAGGCTTCTTATTAAAATTAACAACCAGTCATATTAAAAGGGTCACAACAACAACAACAAAAGTCACAATTCAACTTCAAAGTTTCTAATTTTTTACAAATAAAAACCTTCGTATTATCAAATTTGAACAAAGTTGCATGTTTAAGATCTACAAACAGAAAATGCTGAAAATATTTTGTTTTTAATATGCTTAAATGATCACAATTCATTCGTAAAGATGTTACATAATGGTTAATGAAGAACTTGGGCAATATTAAAATAAATAAAACATAACGTAAAACACATATTTGCATCAATTGAAACAATTATTAAATTATTATGAAGCTGTTCCAAATGCTAATAACATATAATATCATAAATGTATTTAAATATAACACAGATATCTGAAGACAACATCTGAGTAATAAATGCACCCAAAGTTCATGGTTTTAATAAAAAAAATGAAGCTCACAACGTGACGATGTCTGCATTTGCTGCCTCCACTGCTATGCTCAGGGGCGTCTTCTCATCGATGTCTGCAGCGTTTTGGTTCGCTCCTCTTTTCAGGAATAAACAAACCTGCCTGTAACAGAAAGCAGAGTTAGGTTAAGCTGTTTTTGTAGCCCCTGTGTGACAGTGGCGCTGTGGTAAAGGAGGATGACGCATAAACAAACCCTGTGTGTCCCAGCGTGGTTGCGTGGTGCAGCGGTCCTCTGCCCTGAGCGTCCTGTTGGTTCACGTTTGCCGCGTTTTGGAGCAGAAACTCACACGTGACCAGCGAGCCCTGAAATTAACCGCAAGATCAGTTTGTACACACTTAAAATGCAGCACATTTATGACTTTAATTTTAAAAAAGTAACCAAATTAACAACATCTGCTCAACTAATTGAAGAAAACACCAACATACTGGACTTCCTGTGTTCATACTAACCCCGTGCACGGCCATGATGAGCGGCGTCTTCTTGTCCTCGTCCGTGTTGACCCAGTTGACCACGGCTCCATGGGCCAGCGCCTCAGCCATGTCCGGCAGGCTGCGGGCGCACGACGCCCAGTAGAGCTGCAGACCCGGGCTGTACTCCTTAGGCTCGTAGAAAACCACTTCCTTGCAAGGGGACGGGGGAGGAAGTGTTGCGGGCATGGAGGGAGCCTCAGCAGCGTCTAGAATATGTAACGACAGATACGTTAATCTAAACAAAGCTCAGTGTGCTCAGTGGTTTCTTTTTTTGCAAAAATATGGCTTAGAAAATTAATTGGAAACAAAATTCGGGCTACTAACAATACTAAACTTTGACATTACGTATTCAATTCAATTCAAAAATACTTTATTAATCTCAAAGGGATTAATGTTGTCGTAGCTCATCAGCCTGGTTTAATTCAAGAGTTGTTATAGATGCTGATAGCTGTGAGCAGGAGGGACCTCCTGCGATCAGGTACTTGAGCACCACCACCAGGTTGACGGGAATTCATCCACGGCGCCTCTTTTTCAACTCATTTGGGACTTGGGGGTGTAGCTGAGATATTTGAGTTTTTGAGATGTTAATTAGCTGCTTCTTGTCGTTAAAAAACATGTTGTTGCTATGGTTACGCTACATAACAAATGCCCAAAAGTAAAAAGGTTTCAGTAAAAATCCTTCCAGCTGCACAGCATCCGATACCAGAGGAAATAATCATCCGAAAAAAGCAATTTACATCCATAAAGAAGAGGAATTAAAGTTTTCAGAAGCAATAAATGAGAATGAAAGTAACAGCTACTCCAACATGCAGCCATCTTGAGCGGAACAATTCTAGAGCATATAGGAAATATTTAGGATTGTAAGCAGCTGAAATTCTTTTCTTTCAGTGGAACAATAGACCATAAACACATTAGTTTTTTTTTAAAAGTCTGAGATTCAGCCAAACAGTCATCCACCTTTTCCATTTCTCCCTTAAGATACTGAAATCTTAAAAAGCCCGGATGTGACAACAGGCGTGTGCCGTACCTGCGTCCGCCAAGCTGTTACTGGATGGAGTGGTGGCCAACATCTCCCCGCTCCCATCAGCACTGTTCTGAATGCCACTGTCTTCTCTTTTCACTGGAAACAAACCATCTGAATCACTACATGAAGAACGCAGTTCTGCCATGACCAAGTGTTGAAATAAAAGGAACACCTTCCTGCTGATTTGAGTTGAGCAAAGCTATTTTAGCCCCTAATCAAAAATAAGCCTATGAATGTTTGATATATTTAATGTATTTATACACGTGTATTTCTCCAGCCTGATTAAGCAAAAGGTATTCCTAATATTTTACCATAAACAGACAGAAAGAGACTTTTGATAACAGATCCACTCCATCACCTTAAGAGCCAGTCCCCTAAACACTGAAAGGATGACGACACAGACACACAAATGCCAAACACTGACCAAAAACAATGAGTGAGTGAAACACTGCCCTCCTCAGGAAACACAAAGCGTTATGTTTTGGAGCATGGGTCAGTCAGAAGGTCTGGACGAGGAAGGAATTAAGAAAGGGATAAAGGAGGTGTTACTCCACAACCCCAGAGAAGTACAGTCGAATGAAAAGGGGGGGGGGGGGGGGGGGATGGAAAGCAAGCAAAGCACTCAGCTTTTAGTACTTACTGCTCCTGAGCTTGTGGGAGGTGTCAAAGTAGGAGAAGAGCGAGTCAAGCTCATCAGGACAGAAGAGAGAATCACGGCGGGCCTTGGTGCCGCTGGCAGCAGCTACGCCAGGGATGATGGGAATAAGGATATTACAGGACGGAGGTGAATATAAGATGGTAAGGGGAGTTTTGAGGTCAGCGGTATGAGCAGTGGGGTTAGTCCAGAAGCAGAGAGCAGCCATGGGAGGAATGGGGTGTATGAAAGAGGAGAGAAAGAAGAAAGCAGGGAACAGATGGTTAGACTACAGGCTCAGCTAATGCTGGAAAAAAGACAGACTACGGCAAGCAATGTGAAGGCAGAGAGGGTTCAGACATATGCTGTTCACAGAACACACAGTATGTCAATGGAGCACAAATATCACGTGGTATAAATTTATCATGCAGTGCTCTTTCTTCTGTCTTGAAGCTGCAAAGTTTGGTGTCTGAAGAAGTACAAGAAAATGTTCCAATATCTACAGTTCCATTTTGTTATAATCATCTCAGTCTGTAATGTGGAAGAATAATGAAATCATAAAAAAATATGAAGGTGCAGTGGATCAAAAGAAAAAATAAATTGTTTTGCATCTACCTGGCTGCCCTGACGCATGAGAACTTGGCTGAAGTTTTGGCGTGGGGGGAGGCGGTTTTGGAGGCAGGTGCTCAGAGCTGCTGCTCAGTCGTTTTTCCTGTTTGCTCAGAGAAACGACTTTGTTTCGAAGCTCCTCGTCTGACGGCCGGCGAACAAACCGTCGATCCACATATTTGGCTTTGATGTAGGCCTCCACCTCATGTCTGTTTGAAAAAATACGTTTAATTCATCACATGACTTCAATTCAATTCAGTTTATTTATAGAGCGGCAAGTCACGACAGAAGTCATGTCAGGGCACGGAACAGAAACATTCATATATATATAAAGTAAGTTAACATTATTTATCTGAGGAGCAGACTGCTTTGAGTTTAACTTCATCACAGAACTCTCATCTTGAGCGAGCATGAAGGCGACAGTAGAAAGGAAAAACTCCCTCACGAGGAAGAAACTTTTAGCAGAACTTGTCCAGCAGAAACCAGAAGAACTTCCTGTCCTGCACAATACTTGCTGAAGAAATCCACCTTTCAGCACTGACATCTATAAATAAAACTATCACTGCGTGTGCATGTGCATTTTTGTGTACCTGGGGTCTCCTGGCTGTGGCTTCCTGGCTCCCAACTCCTCTCGCCGAGCTTCATAGATCTGGTTGATCACTTTGTTTCCCAGCTCACACATCAACTGTAAAATATTTAAAATAGAAATAAATCCTTTCACTGCATTAAAAAAACAAACAAATAATGGAACGAGAAATAACTTTCAGCACTTAACTTAAAATATGTCAGTAAACGAGTATGAACTGTTCAGGCCCTCACCTTGAGTAGTTCTGGCTCCCAGGTGTCCAGAGTCAAAGATCGAACCTTAGAGAAATGTACTCCCAAACTCCTGTAGAGGAAATAAATGACATTAAAGACACAATGCCTTCACCCACCATGCTTTCATTAGCTGAAAGTTAAATCCTTCTGGAGAATGTTGAACTTTTATCATAAAAACTGTACTTTCATGTGGAGATTGTATTCTCTGATGAAAAGCTGCCATATTACTTTAATTGTAGATAAGTTCACAAATAAAAAAAGCCATGTGTACTGGTTCTCTGACATCAGTCACATTTTTGATGAAAATTGAGGAAATACCTGCAAAATGCTGCTGACTGTATCTGCAACCAACAACTGAACACCAGAAATCAAACGTCTTAAGATGAACCACTGGACCATTTAATTAAAGCAGAATAAAATAATCACTGATGAAAACATCTTTAAAAATAACTTATCAGTTGCATTTGTTTTTCTACAGGTGAAAGGAAATTATTCAGACTACAAATACAATCCAGATTAGTTATAGTCATGTACCTTAAGGCATCACACACGCACATGCACGCATGCACGCACAAACACACACACACACGCACGCACGCACGCACGCACGCACGCACGCACACACACACACACACTGTGTAAATGATAATTGCCACTAAAGCCACTTCGCTTATTGAAAATCACAACAGGAGCAAGAAATCTAACCAGATGATTACAGCTTCAAACTGAGAGCATGGGAACTGACCTGAGCACTTTTAACCCAAATAAACTTTAATTAACTTTACTCTGAAAAGTAATCAAAGAGGTCGCAACATCCTAAACAGACTGAGTTTATATAACAGTGAGTTTTCATTTAATAAATCCCCAAAGGCCAAACACTGCAAAGAAGCCTTTCACACCATGCTGCTGTGGATTGTTTCCTAAAGCTAACAAAAGCAAAGATAATTTAATTATTTAAAGCTTTCACAGAGATAAATTAAACTCCAAGTGAACTTCACTATGACAAAATTTCAGAAAGATTAATAAATTATACTCTAAGAGTTCACTTTGTTGATTAATTTTAATTTTCTCTGGAAAGCATTCCTTCCTTTCAGTTATTTTTCCCCATTTCCTATATGATGTTTCTCCTTAGAGCTTTAATTTTCCATTTCTTCTGGTTTCTGTGGGAATTTAAAAACACATTTTGTAAAACAGGTCTCGTACCTGTGGATGCCAGAGCACTGTATACAGAGGGTGATGCCCAGATTGATGCTGGCCCAGCGGGGATCTGGCTGACCGCAGTCGCAGCAGCAGGAGTTGCCAGGGATAGCCAGGACCTTCTGCAAGGCGCTCTCTCCTTTCAGTGACCTCTCCTTCGGCTCCCCTCCAGAGTCCAGACTCCCTGTCGATGTAGAGGACTTCCTGTCCAGCTTCTAGCACAGGAAAGAAAATGCTCAGTCTCCAAAATTGATAACACAGAATTCATTAAAAAAAATTACACTTGAGTATTGTGGAAGAAGCATCGGTGGGAGGAGATGCACTGAAAAAAATATATAACTCCATTTTACTTGATTTACTGGTACCTCAGTGTACAGTTATTGAATATGAAATTACAATTTGTCTGCTGCCACATCGATTCATCACTTATTCTTTAAAAGACCCACTCCATTTAGTTTGGTTTTACCTCGCCGTTGTCTCCCTTGTCGCGGAAGGCGGTGGCGATGCTGTTCTGGACAGCTTTGATCCAAGCTTGTCGCAGCTTCTCTGAGTCGGCCTGCATCATACAGCTCCTGCAGGGGCACAAACGTCACACAGCAGCTGTCAGCTAAAACACCGTGGCTGTGGCCGCGTCTAGTGGATACAGTGCTGCTCTAAATGTCCATGTTTGATTTTTGGTTGTTTTCCAGACTTTGATTATGTCGGGGACTTAAACTTACTTTGTGGGTGAAACCACTTCAAAACAGAAGCGACGCTCGATGTCCTCACAGTGTTTGACTGTGCATAATCTCAGGTCTTCCACCACTACTGTCGGGGTGTCCTGAGGGGTCAGCAGAGGGTCTTTTATTAAAAACAGTTCAGGGTTCCTTGATATTCTACACAACAAAATTCAAAACCTTTTAAAACTAAGACTATTGTGGTTCACATAAACTACGCAAACATTGAAAATACACAAAGATGGATAGCAAGATGAAACATTTGTAGGAAAAACGTTTTTACGTGCCTTCAGAGTAATTTTATCATCAACTTTAATTATAATTCACATTTAAAATGACTTAAAGTTGACCTAAGTGCCATATTAACCCAAAAACTAAAATTCATTGAGGAAAAAGTAGAAAAAAATGTAACTTTAAAACCAAATGAAAGAAAAATCAATATCAAATTACTTTAAATGAATTCATGTCTAAACTTCTTATATTAAACATCAAAGTTCATGCTCAATAATCCAGGTGAAAAATCCAACAAAGTTCAGTCAGATCATCTGGACAGTTTCTTTATTTTAATGAGATGTTTTGTCGTGGGTCAACCAGTTTGTTGGTGATAAGATGGTTTCTGGGGCTCGCCCTCTCCCCCATCGACTCCTCTGAGGCAGCCATAGCCAAAGTGGTTAAAACATTAAAGTTCATGCTCAATAATCCAGGTATGATGAAGTCCTTTGGATGAAGGACAAAACGTCTCAACAAAAAAAAGAAACCATCCGGACCTGACTGAACTTTGTTGGATTGTTACATTTAAACTTTTCAAAACTTGATTTCACCCCCGACAGAAGACAAATAAGATGTACACAGAATGGTCAAATGTGATCTTATCTCTTATGTCTTCATAGTTTATTTTCTCCATACACTACTGTAAATATTTAAATATAAATGTATAGAAAACTTAAGGCCAGTGATGACAAGCTTCATCAGGTGGCTACAACATGTTTGTGCAGCCGTTATTTTGCTAGAACAATGTCAAAAACACTTAAAATAAGTAAAAATATTTTTTGATTTGGTGTTTTAACAAACAAATTTGTTGGTTTGTTCTTTTTTCCTCTCTCCTGTACGTCGTAAGAGCAAACTGTCACGTTATGTTTTCGTGCCATTGGTTTTAACATGTAACACAAATGGTAGCTTCAGGAGATTAAAAAAATCTGACAAAGATACAGTTCAAGTAAATGTGTTTCTCTACCTCTGCGTGAGTGTATTTTAGAATTTAATTGATGCATTTCACTACAAGAACAGTGCAGGAACCCATCTCTGCACAAAGCAGTGGTTTTCTGCACACCACACAAACTGTTTACAACATTTCCTTAAACTTAAACTGTGGCAGAGCGCTAAAACTACATGAAGGGACAGCTGCAAAGGAAGCATATTTCTATGTGGTTGGTGGGGAGAGTCACTTAACATACCTTAAATTTCTTCTGGTAAACGAGCTGATTGTTTTGGATAGAGAACCAACGTCTGAAAAGAGATCGCAAGTAAATTAGGAAAACTGGTCTCGCACACAGCTGCCTGAAATAACTCGCTCTTACATCCTCTTGGTGTGGCGTGAAACTAAATTATTACAGTACAATCTGAAGAAGACAATAATGATTTCCCTCTACAGGAGTCTTCACAAAGACAACAGCAGATCAACATCTGAGCTTTGAGTCGGTCATGTTCCAAAACATCCTTCCATTCATTTGTCTCTGCACGCCTTTAAATTGGAAACTGAGAAGACCTGATTGAATCGAACCATTATTAAAGAAATATAGCAGCATTTATGACTCGTCTTGAACTTTGTTTGTGATTGTTCAGATAAATAATCAACCAAGAGTGGGGGAAGGATGTGATCATTGAAATCTGCCTACTTGTAAACAAGACGATGTGAAAATACCAAGACAGATTTTATACAAATAAACAAAGAGATGGTGAATAAGCAAGATAAACTCTGCTAATAAAGGTTGTCATTGTTTTTATAAACCTAAAATGGCTTTGAAGACTTAAGAGTTAAACAAATGTTACCTTTTAGTTATGTCTCTGGCCTGTTTTGTCTAATGATGGCATATTTATTTGCATCACTTCTTTTAGATTAAAAAAAAAATCAGCATCTGGAATCAATTCGACACTTTATTACTTTGTTTTGCTACAAGATATAAAACAAAGAAGCCACATTAAAACAAAACACAGTTAAGAACGCATAATGTTCCATTTTGATTGTCACAGCAACATTATTTCACCTAAACATACCCGAGTAGTAACGAACTACAGTTTAGGCGACTTTTGAAGCGTTCATAAAGCTTTAGATTAAACAACAATACCTGTTCCACGTCTTAAAGGCGTTACTCGCCCTCTTAAACAGATAACCCTCCATGGCGATGCCATTGTCAGCGTCCACATTGTATTCCAGTTTGGTGTCGTCATTTGAGAAATCCTGGTATTTGTGAAAAGAGAACAAAACAGACAGAAAATACAACCTTTAAAAAATTTAACAAGATAAAACCTGTGATACCTGAAATCACATACTTAATTTGAAAGCGTAAAGAGTTGCATTTTCTTAAAAAGCTCAAACACTGTTATTATTATGATGCAAGACTTTCCCCACATGCGTATTTGTTTGTAGTTCGTGTCGAGCAGAGTCAAGTTACAGAAACATCGTGCGTCCGTTCTCTCAGCGACGCTGTCATGAGACCTTCCATTGTGTAAGTCGAGCTGTAACTACCTGAGCTCCTGTCACACACTCCTCACACACTCATAGTGATCTGCAAGTGCTCAAGTGTGTGTGTCCTTGTGGAGTCAATTTACACCAGACGTCAGCGTCTCCACAAGCAATTACAGCTCAATGAGCCGGGATCTGATACTATGACGAGCACGCGAAGCATCCTATCTGTTGTCCTTCCAGAAACCTCCAAACGCTTCTCCAAACTCACTCTGAAAAAGTTGTACCCTGCAGCCTTTATGAAGTAAGTTTTAACCCCGAAGAACTAATCTGCTGTTTTAGATGATTGAGATTTTCCCACATGGAAAAAACTTCTCGTCTGTTATTTGATGCAGGTTTAAGAGCAACTTTAATAAACACCTAAACATGTCTGGAGACCCGTTGCACAAAAGTAGGATTTATACATCCAGGATGCCGGCAGGAAGCTGCACTTGAACAATCCATGAACTCGCACAAACGTCAAACCATGCTGAAAGAGGGCCGCTACTTCAGGCCAGGTTTAAATCAGCTCGGTTGAACTCATGGTTTCCCTATAAGATCCACTCTGCAGATCACAGATTTCCTGATTAAACATGGACAGAAAGATACATGCATCCCACTTCTCTTCAGTGGAGCAACGGATAATCAAGGATACATATGAAGAGATGAAACACATGCTCACTAAAATAGGAAACACTGCAGCCTACATTAAGCAGACAGAAAGACAGTGGCAAATTATAGCGGACCGATTGAATGCGTAAGTCATTTCAAAAACTGAATCTGTTTTCAAGTAATCTCAAAATTAACAGCTGAACACTTTTCTTCAAAAATGAGCAGTGGAAGTTAGAGTAGAGTAGGAAATTAACCATAAATATTCATTGCACAATTTCAATTTATTTTGTGCATTGGCAATTATGAACATCTCAGATAAATAGTACGAGACCACGGCAAAATATTCCTCTTTTGGACCGAAAATAATATAAGAAAAAGCAAAAAAGATGCAGCACCTCAAATATTGCAAAAGAAGACAAGTTCATTTTAACCTCTTATCATTTTCAACAGTAAATATTTTTTTTTCATTTAATGTTCATATAGCACAAATGTGAGTGGTGGCCAAAAACGCACCTGGCAACAAGTGAAAGGTAAATACAAGAAACATGTTTGTAAGCTCAATCATCCAGGTAGATAAAAAAAGAAGGTTAAATCATGTCATCTGGACAAGTTTCTTTTAAACTTTTTTGTAAACACGAACTAGAACCCAACCAATATATCAGTAGGGCTGATAATTTAGGCTGATATACATGTTTGGGGACCTATTGGCATTGGTGATAATTGTCCCATTATGCGCCGATATAAAGTTTTCTAATTTTCACCATTAAAATGCTGGAACCAGTCATAATTGTACAATGTATCCATCAGAGGGCACATATGGACTACTTTCAAGTAGTTGCTGTTCAGTTTAAGTTTCACTTTCACATTCAGCACAGAAGAAGCAGGGAGCAATACTGTGTAGAATATTTTTGCTGAACAGAGCATGGTAAGTTTACTTTAACTGATATGTCAAATAAATCAACAATAACAAATTATCTTCAATCCTCCAACCAGGTGGCCATAACCTACATGCCTCTCAAGTTAGCAAGCTAACGTTTAGATAACCAGCATAGGCTATTGCCTTGTAAAACTTTATCCAGAACAATAAATCTAACAGAGCGGTAAATATATATCAGTGTTTGTAACGTTATCTTTGTCATCCTCAACATGCATTGTTTGTCTGAAATCTTTACTTCACTGCAAAGAAAAAATACGCAGCTGCGGTCAACAATAATTAGGCCTTCACTGTATGTGACTGACCCGTTTAAACAATGAACAGGGAAGGGCGTTTCTTTGTTTTATTTATATTTATGTTAACACACTTGATAACTTCATGGTGAATAGTGGAAGATAGAAAACGTGAACGCACGTTGGGAAGACTGTTTCTATGACCAGTGCACCACTCGTAAACACAGTGTGGGTCTAGGTATAAGGTGACTCTTTGCTTAGCTTCATGGTTACTAACAGCCGCGCTAAATAAACAAGCCCCGCCCCATTCGCCGTTTTCTTAGATTCTTGGGGGTGGACAAAGCTCAAAATACTTCAGCCATTATATCGGTTATCGGCGGCCGCCGTCTCATATCAATATCGGGATCAGTGATAGCCAAAATTTCTATATTGGTCGGACTCGAACAAGAACATTCTGCAGTCTGGTGAACTGTAGCTGATGATGTACAGTCCAGATGACGTGTGTAAATGACTTGGAAGGTGTTTGCTCACATATTGTACTGATTTTAGCAAAACTTACACACACATTTCTAATTGTCTCTACAGCCGAAGTGATAAGTAGGCTACTCAGTAAACCTCACATATCAAAAAATAGCAGTGCAATAATCATAAACGATTACCACACAATTCTAAGAATATTGAAATTTTTATCATTATTATTTCTATTATCAGGACTGGATTTAGTTTTAAACAGTTATTTGATGTCAAAATGACAGTAGTTATTGAACCTGTGATATTTTAATGCAATGTAATAAAAATTAGGCAAATACATACGTAAGAAAATTGAATGATTGAATGAACACACTGGTTTCTGATCGGAGCGACCGCCGACTGCTCAGAAACAAGAACAGATTAATTAAGCTTCAGCTTTAGCTGGGTCAGGACCAGGCTAGTTTCAGGGGATTATTCTCCAAGGAAACATATGTGCCTCCTCTTTTGTGTAACTGAATCAAGGATTAATCCATCAAGGATAACACGAAAATTCTGGCTTAAACTTTGATATTACTTTTGTGCAACGGGCCACTGTTTCCACGAGTTTCAGGATATAATCAAAACATCAAACAGATAAAATATATTATAGATAAAACTACAGGAGACTTGGAAAGAAAGAAAAAATCTCAACGTTGATAATTTTGTTTGTTTGTCGGCAGGAAATGACCTCAGACATTCAGTGTGTGCGCGTGACAATGACCACCACTTTCTGTTTATTTCCTGGACAGTAACATGCTAAACACAAACATTATTCTTATAAACCCATATTTTGATGGGCACTCTGCTCAGACAGGACTTTTTCTTTTTCTTTCATTTAACAGATACTGCTGTCCAATTATCTCTCTAACAGTGCAGGTATTCCCAAACAGTTTGTGTAATTCAAGCAGGAATAAATCAGTCATCTTCATCGTGGCCTCTCCAAGTCTCTGCTTGATCTGGAGCATGACTGACCGTTGTCTGTCTGAACTTGCACACTCTCTCATTGCCAGATTATCCAAAAGTAATCAGAGAAAAACTGACCAAGCGTACATTTTTGCCAAGTTATTTTGGTAGCTCAACTGGAACAAATGTGTTTTTATTAAATGTCTGGATAGAAGGAGAGTACCAGTTCAAACAGTTATATTTTACTGGATTAGGCAGACAAATGCACAGCAATAACAAACTTATGGTACTATACAGCTTTGACAGAGAAGACAGAAAACTGACATGAACCAATGGTACGGCATGCCAATGAGCATTCACTCCATGCAGATAAAAAAAAATCCAAAGTTTTAAACTAAACTTTTAACATTTCTATTCCTTAGTTTTAAATATTGGCTGATTTTTCTGAGACTTTTTTTTTGGTAAAACAAACAAAGCTAAAGGGGCTGTTGATTTTAGTTTTGAAGCACTTTAGACACACGGGGAAATGTGAACAATTACAGTACAGGACATTGAGATAAATGACGACAAAAGACAGCAAAGCATCAAAACACGGACGTCAAACCAGCAAGTCACGTTTCTTGTGTTGGACACACACCAAAACAGCATCAAAATGTTACATGCGATGAAAACATCTGCACTGATACTGTACATGTGTTTATGAAGTAACAAAGGTGCAAATATCTCCACAAACACTGCAGTGCAGTCTCTTTATAATGTGCTGAAGAGGAGATGAAGGAGCAACGAGAGTGGGGTTACAACACACAAGTCGGATGGAAATCGATGCATCGACTACGTACGGAGGTCGACCTCCAGGCACAAAAGTTGCGGTAGTCTGGTAAAAAGTCAACATCTGTCACCTCCTAAAATGTCACAAACAGCAAGAGAACCACACAGAGAGAAAAAGAAGTTTGTGTTTTCCTGAAGCTAAAACGAAGGAATCTATCATGGATTTAATAACGGTCCGAAGCGGGAAAATCTTCAACTGATGAAGCAAAACCAAACAAACACTATAACCACAAGCAGACATGGACACAGTGACACCGTCACATGCACCGCACCATACAAACACCTCTAATCTATTAGATGCACTCACCAGATACCAAACATAATGAAAACGGCTGAAAATCTTCATTTGTCAAAAATCTTTTCTTGGCCGCCGACTGGGGTGTGTGTGTTCCCCGTAAGGTCGATAAATGATCAGAGTCTCCAACCCTCTCTGTGTAACATCTCAGTGACTGAAGTCACTTGAAGCAGCGTGGTTCGTCTCTTCCTCATGCCCTCAGCTCCTTCTCTACTGCAACTGAGTCTAAACACTCATCACTGCCTCCGCTGCTGCTCCTCCTCTACAGGACTTGTGCTCCAAGCAAAGGTCACCCTGTGTGTGGGTTTGACTCTTAGTTTGGGACAATTAGGTGCACCACAAAGAGGAGCATGACCATAAATATTCATAAACTATTTTATGCACTCTTGTCTTTAACCCAACTATTATACTTAAAATGTACAGAATTTGATCCTTAAACATGGACTGAAAGTTCTTTGTTTATAAAACAGTAAAGGTGCTGATGTGAACAGCAGGTCTTTAGCTTCTTTAAAACCACCGTGACTTTGTCCAGCTTGGCTCAGTGTTTCTGCTGAATAATGCACACAGGCAGAGAGAGTAAACACAACCCCCGGACCCTTTTCAACTCCTGTGAGGATGAAAGGTTTTGTCAAAAGAATGATAACAGCAATTACTTACAACAATAGATGAAATATCACTAATATGGTCAGATATCAGTTAGGCCTGTCACGATAACAAATTTTGCGATTGTCTCAGAAATTATATTGATAAACGACAACACTGTTTGAAATTTGACCATAATTAGTAATTGTCAAATTTAAGAAGACATGTTGGTTAATGTTTGTGTGTAGTACCTTTTCTGATCACTGGATGGCAGTATAAAATGGTTTAAACCAAAGGATGGATAGTGAAGGAGCAAGCAGCGTGTATCTTTAAGAAAAATGGGAGGGAGGCACCTTGACGTGACGTGGGCTATTTTTCGTTACTGTTTTTCAGTTCTCAAAATGGCGGATGCGCAGTGTGGTTTGAGCTCTTTAGCATAGCTAGCTATAGCATAGCACTGAGCATGCATCAGGATCTTTAGCATAGCCTTTGTCACACAAAGCTTTTAATTAAAAAAAAAAACAATTTCTCAGCTTCTTTTTACAGAGAAAAGCAATTTCTTAGACGAAGGCACGGGTTTCAACCATGAATTTTGGAGCGTCGACAAGACAGAGGTTTTATACTGAAGTCGGCCTGTTAGCTTAGCTCGTAGCTTAGCTTCTCAGCTTAGCTGCTTTAAACAATCCAAAATCGTGATTTTACACAGTTAAAATGGATTTTAAAAGAAAATAGTAAGGGAGGAGTCAGTATACAGCACCAGAGTTGAGCCTTTTGTCATCCAGTGTCTTCAGTAGAAAGAGAGAGACACGAAGAAACGATAAAGCCGATAAATTAAAATGAGGTTGATAATTTTCATTTATCGTGCGATTCATTTATTTATTGTTTATTGCGACAGGCCTAATATCAGTAGAAGCAATGTTTTGATTATTGATGTTCACTTCACTTCATCAAATAACTCATCATCACGCCAAGCTAAAAACATTACAGCTTATTATCAAGAATTTTGTCATGTTCCACGACCAAATGCGTTAAACTGGTAAGAAATAATTAGATCTTTAGGAGAGATGAAAGAGACAAGAATTAAAATAATTTGTTTTAAAAATAGAGAATGAATGTTAAATTAGTTATGTTTTTTGTTTGTTTGTTTTAATTATGCAAAGCTGCTCCAATAAAGTTGCAAAATAACTGCAGAGGTAAAAAAAAACAATTTTTTTTTTGTTGTTCTTTTGAAATATTAAACATTCTAGTGAAAATGGTACATAAGTGTACAGTAGTGCTATTTTCAACTGCTGATATAATTCAAATTTTTCAATAACAATGAGATAACAGAAAATGCAAGTGATAAGGACGCTCCTTTTTGCTCTAGAGATTCTGCAAAACCACACCGATTAACATTTGTGAGTAACAAACTGCCTGACCACATATAAACCTTGGGAAGTCATTGCAGATGCCAAAAATGTATAATGTTATAACTAACTGCAAAGAAAATTCCATGTTTGTGGTAGAAACGGGTACTACGACGTTTCATTATGACTACTGAACCATAGGGTCTGTATCCTATGGCTCCTGAACTGGGCAATCAAGCAAATACAGATCATGAAACCATTATGAGCCGATTTGATTCTACAGTTTGTGTACACTCAGATCACGAATGCTTCCTGGAAGCTGACTGGCTTGTGGGTCTGAATCATCTCAAATCACGCTCCTCCATGTAGATACTACTGGTTTTGCATTTTACATTCAGCACATCTCCAGACACTTTGTACTCTGTTGAACTTGTGACCTGCTGCAGGATTTAATAAATTGCCACGAAGTCCACCATTACTTTAGTAAATTTACCATAATATCATGATATACAAACAGGGCTAACTTGGTTAATTAACTGTGTTGTAAACTCTACCATAAGCTAACAACATGCACAAAAGCATGCATGTCATCAAATCATGCCTGCTGCCTATTTAATCTTGTGTTAATCCATCTTACTTAAGTCTTTAAAATGATGTGAGCAGCAGAAATGAAGTCTGACCTTGGACAGCTGAGTGTACAGTACATTCATGCAGACATGACATTGTGGTGACAGTGAAGGTAAAGGGAGAAGAAACAGCTTACCTGCAGAGCAGCCTGAAGTGAGCAGAAAGAAAGATGAAAGATTATAAAGAAGACAGTAAGTAAATATCTGTAGATGAAGCCATACATAAACCACATAAAGTATGATTTATAAAAATAGTATTAAGCTAATGAAGAGGAGGTGTAAAAAAGGCACTGAAAGAAAATATACCTCAACTTATTGAACTAAAGGCAAGAGAAATAGAGCGGAGTGGATTTAAAAGATACACATTTAGAAGACAAAAGACTATGGAAGTAAATATGTGTCACTAGGATTTGAATTAAAAATGCCAATGAAATTTTAATGTTGTATGTTTGCATTTATTTTTCAGTGTTAAAATATATTCAGAATACATTTTTAACCTAAAAAAATGAATTGTCATTATTTCTATAGGTTTGAAATATCATTTGTTATTTTCACTTCAACCTAAAAATTCAACCTTTCAACATTCAAGCTCAATATTTTCAGTCTCCTGAGATTCAACTGGCTCAATTTCACTGTCTGAAATTCAGCATCTAAAAATTCAGTGTAAAAAATGCAGGGTTACTTTCAGGTCACAGACATTAGCAAAGGATGTCAGAATCCAACACCCACATCTGCTTTCTTAGTCATGTGATGTTACGCTTGTCGCACTCATTTTGAAGGAAAACAGCATGTCCGAGGCGGTCATGGAAGCTAACGCTAACTCAAAGGTTAGTTTAATGCTTTCATTTTTCTGTAGTATGGTTTATGAAGTATCGAACTTCAGGTGCCAAAAAAAAAAAAAAAAAAAAAAACCCGGAAAAATGAAAGCATTAAACTCACCGCTGAGTTAGCATTAGCTTCTATAACCACCTCGGAGATGCCGTTTTCCTTCTAAATAAGTGTGACAAGCGTAACGTCACATGACTAAGAAAGCGGATGAGAGTATTGGATTCTGACATCCTTTACTAATGTCTATGACCTGAAGTAACCCTGTCTTTTTTTACACTGAATTTTTAAACGCTGAATTTCAGACAGTGAAACTGAGCCAGTTGAATCTAAAGAGACTGAAAATATTGAGCTTGAATGTTGAAAGGTTGAATTTTTTTGTATGCCAATTTTTTTTTTAATACCGAAAAGTTAAACTGCAGAACAGCTACTGAAAATGTGATCACTTTGAAATAATAATGTGAATTTTTTTAGCTTGAAGTGAAAACAAATTAAATTTCAAACATAAAAATAATGACAATCGGTTTTTTTGAGGCTAAAAATGTATTCTGAATATATTTTTAACACTGAAAAATAAATGCAAACATACAACATTAAAATGTAAGTGGCATTTTTAATTAAAATCCTAGTGACACATTTACTTCCATAGAAGACATTTCAGAACACCAAAACCAATGACTCTGACTGGCAAAGAAATTAAAGGAAGCTCAGAAAATAACAGCTGGGTGAAGAACGGACACATGCTGTCTGTAGTTAACGATGCTGTGTGATGTACCAATAAAGTTAGGAGGAAATAATCAACACATGCTGCAACAGAACGAGACAAATTAATTTAATCACACTGACTGAAGGTTCATCAATTTCTAAAAAGCTCCAAATGAAGAGATGCTGCACAGAGCTGAAATGTGCCAGAATAAAAAACAAAAACATTTTGTTCAGCTGCTCCCTTGTGGTCGCCAAACTTGAATTAAGGATTTGGCAATTGATTTACGCCGGATGCTCTTCCTGACACAACCTGAACTCGAACCTGCAGCCTCAAGATGACAAAACCGCTGCACTGACTCCCAAGCTACTGGAACACCCTAAAAACAATGGTGTAAAAATCTAGAAGATATATTGAAACCAGTGAGGAAATTAAAGCTGGCAGAGTTGCTAAACAGACATGGAAGTGTGTTGAAACTGAACCTGGTTTGGTTGGAAATGTGTTCTCGCCAGCTGTCAATAATGCATGGGTGTGTAGCAGAGATCATCCTGCAGGTTCACCTTACACCTGCACCCCATACTACGAGGCAAGTTCAGCTTACCCAGGGTTCAACTAACACTATCAATCAGTGGTACTACGAATAGGCCTATCACAATAACAAATTTTGCTGGGTGATTAATCGTCTCAGAAATTATTGCAATAAACGATAATATTGTTTGAAATTCACCAATTTCTGTATATAAATGTAGATATAAGCAGTTTAAAAGTTGACAAATTATTTATAATCAGCACTGATCTAACAGTCATGAAGTTATTATATTTTAGTATAACCACAGAGTTCAACTTTGTTTTTCAGGCGGCAGCTCAGAGAAAACGAGCTGTTAGTGTTGCTTTTTGTCTCCATGTGTGCTGCTAAATAAACTCTGAATTGTGAGCCAAATGCTATTTGTGTAAACACTGTTTTTTTTTTATTTGGATGCACTTTCAACATTTTTCTTTAAAACGTAAAGATGACAAGATAATTTTGTGAGAGTGTGTGCACCTTTTGTTGAATGGTTGAGTGCTTCTGCTCCATGTCTCTCTTCTCTTTGGCAGCATCGACCACCAGCTGGTCCAACTGCAAGAGATGGAGGAGCAAATTAGTCAGGTTTGAAAACTGACTGGTTGTACATATTTAATTTAAGAACAGCTTTAAAAAAAAAAACATTATGACAAACATAAGACATGAAGGGTGGTGCAATCAGTAAATCTAGTTGCTTAAGAGTTCACCTTGCAAATCAGTCTGAAAAGGTAAATTGTACGCTTTAAAAGTAAACTCCAGCAATTTTTTCACTGACCAAATAAAGACAAAAGCAGTTTTAAATAAAATGAACTGGGTTGCATCAGCTTCTTTGTGTGTGAAACTGAACGAGAAATGATTGATTCTCTTCATTTCTGCACATAAAAATGGAAACAAAGGCCCCTTTGAGCAGAAAAGCAAGCAACAAATTAAAAAAAGAGCCTTGAATAAAGAGATGGGGTTCACAGGGCGTTACTGAAAATGGTCCAGCTTGTCTCAGAGTAGAGAAATCCTTAACTAGGTCTCTTGATAGTCTGTTGCTGCAGCCTGACCTAAATCAGCATGTCTGCAGCCTGGGGTCTGTGCTCACAGGAGCGCTGCAGGATACATGTAAGCATGTGATGATGAGAAGGGTTCAAAGTTTCCTCAGCAAACAGAGTATGGACAGAGTGCAGCTGGAGTTTAAAAGCAGTTCAACACACTTAGGATTCTTGGTAGGCCCCGATTTCTTTCATTTTGGGACATCGGCCAAGACTTGCATGAGAAACCGATTTTACAGATTTTTTTTTTAGTTTTAACAAAAATTGTCTGAACTTCCTTTATATTTCAGAGCACTACCTCATGGCCAGTTAAAACAAGTTTGCATTGTTTCTAGGATATTGTTCAAGGGTATGTTTTTCAGTAAAATAAGAGTGGAAAATTGAAGGTGCATTGTGACCTTAGAACACTTGACAGTGTCGCTTATAAAACAAAATCGATATCGGCCAAAATTGGAATCGGCAAGTCAGACTTTGTAGAAATCAGTGATCGGCCAGAAAACTGCAATAGGAACACCCCTAATTCTTGGCAATAACAATAAATCCCAAGTCTGGTAGAACCAGACCCATAGAGACATGAATTTTATCTTTCAGCTAAATCTGAAAGATTTGTTTAAAATAACTAATAAAGATTGTTTTATGAGTATTTAGTTTTGCTATCAAATATATATTTTAAGATTACACACCTGTTTGAGTGATTGCATACATAAAAATACAAAAATATCTCCATAAAATACTAACGCTTGATAAAAATAGTGGGTCAACCTGGTCTGGCTTAGGTCTTCAGAGGCCCTATAGTAGGGTTATTCAACTAAATTGCTCGGGGGGGGGGGGGGGGGGGGGGGGTGCAGTTACTGAAAGCCAAGAGCTCAGGGGCCAGACATCCAGCAGTTATTGTCATTAAGTAAGTTTGTTTTATGGTCTAAAATCTAGTTTTATTTAAAATGAACCCACTGGTGGGCCGAACTGAGATCATCAGTGGGCCTGATTTGGCCCCTGGACAACCAGTTGAATAGCCCCACCCTATAGGAACCCTGATTCATATATTGCACCTTTTTTATGAGCCAAAATGTCCCATTGTGTAATTTATTAGCTTTTTAATAAATAAACACAAAACAAACACACTACTCTGTGATTATTTTCAGAAAGTGCCCAATAAAAATAAATGCTGCTATCTGACCATTTCGGTGAAGACAGAATTTGAAAGGGCTTTGTTTTGTTTAAAGGGAAATGGGTGGGCAGGAGAGTGGCCGACCTGATAACATCAGATGGGAAATGTTTTTCTTGTCCAGTCTAAAACACACTGCCCATCTGCTGCTTTTTTCATGTTCGTTTTAAAAAGCAGGTGCGATTTTATGAGCTCACCTCTTCTTTAATGTCCATCTTAACATCTTTGCCCCTCAACAGTTTCAGCAGCAAATGGCTTCAGCTGTTCACAACTATTACAAAACACTGAACCTCCGATGTGTGTCCCATCGGTGTATGAATGTGATAAAGCACTGATTATTCTTGTATAGATCTAGTAGAGTGTTGTGTGAATGGATAAATGAGGACACAGACTGTAGAGTAAAGCACTTTGAGTATCTTGACAAGATAGAAAGGCAATAGATAAGTACAGTCCATTTACCATTTATTGAAGAGACCACAGTGCGCTACGTGCATCACCCTTGACATGCAACTACAATGACGAGCTTTATGATTCATGGGACACAAAACATCCCTTTGACTGAACGTATTTACTAAACTGACATGTTCAGTCACAAGATCATGTCTCATCGAATATATAATGAGAAGAATAGCTTATATTTAGAGAGAGCTTAGCTGTTTGCATCAAACTGATAGGAAAGTAGTGTGCTGGATAGAATCATCATCATACGGTCTCTTGTTTGCATGCAAATCAAAAATCACTTTGACTTTGTTAGAAAAGAAACTTCTAAAAGTGTTAAAGCAGTTAATGAGTGAATTGTGCAGGTTTTAAGTGAGGGGACTCCTGATTGATCAGTTTCTCGCTGGACGTATGTATTATTCTGTATTACCAGACCTGCTGGCAGCTCCTCCACACCTCCCTGCAGAGTCTCTCCACCTTCTTCAGCTTCATGATGGGGAGAAAATCCAAGTCCAGTCTCCTTGTTGCTGTTTCCCACAGCTCTTGTCTCTGATCTTCCTCTTCTTCTGCTTTCCTCCAAATTCAGTGTGACAGGCTTGTAATCCACTGCATAGCTCCAGTTGTTTGTCAGCTTGAAACCAACCCTCGCTCTTTTTACCCCCCCTCCTTCCTCAGGATCTGGGTCTTGAAACTGTCTTTTTCAATCGTCTCCCTCTTGTCCTACCAATCCTTGCGTTATTTGTGTTCAGTCCTTTGCGTAGTCCATGGCTTTCAAGTCACTTTCTGCTTTGAGGAAAATCATAATTTGCCCCCCCCCCAAAAAAAGTATCCGCCTTTGAAAGTTAGACTCGTCTTCCCTCTTGTCCTTTTCCTCTTCTTTTCTCAGTCACTGTCGTTAACACAACAAGATGCTTACAGCCAGTGTGAGGACAAGAAACCTTACTTTTTATTTAATCAAATCTAAAAGGTTTTTCAATCTGGTTTTCAAAAAAATATTTCCATCTTAAAAAAAAAAAACACAAGAAGGTTCCTCTTTTAGCCGTTTCAAATGCCACAAAAATGTTTTTTGAGCTACACTTTCTCCTCTGAAGTGCACACTATTCCCCGCTCTGTGGCTACTTTCCTTACGCCCCGTCTTTCAAACAGAATCTAAAGCTCCTGCCGATCGTACAGCTTCAAGCCTTCGATGCTTGATATTCCACATCTGAGCATCTATCTTCAGTTTCTGTGTCGTGTTCACTCAGCTGACTGTCAAGCCCTGCGAGTTTGCCTGTGGGAAAACCCTTTTCCAACCTTCTGACTGGTATCTTCCTCATTCCTGCCGACTGTAACAGCAGCTCTGCTGTGATAAACATCTGAAAGTCACATTTGGGCTGCGATCTGGCTCAGAGGGAATGCTTTGTTTATCAGAGGATGCACACAGACACACAAATGAGAGTTCAGTGAAGATCACGGCATACACACACTCGCAAAAATACAGAAATACTGACAAAAAAAGGAATAAAATGTGAGGGGGAGGGCTGCCTTGAGGTGAAAGATGGAGGTTAGATTTCAGCTATGATTAAGGTTGAAGAGTTTCTCAACATTTTATCTGACTGTGCGCACTATGATGCGGAGAAGGAAATAGAAGCAGGTTTAACAGAAGCAAAGTCACGTGCTGATTGAGTGATGATCAATCGTTCTATAACGAGAGAAAAAAAAAAAACTTCCTGTTTTTGTCCTGATGCATGCTCAATGATCCAGGTAGAAAAATCTCAAACAGTTAAGTCTGGTCCTCTGGACGGGTTCAAAAAACAAAAAACTGTAGAAACATTTCGTCTTTCCTCCGAAAGACTTCTTCAGTCTGAAGAGCTGTATTCAGCTCAGTCTTATAAATAGCACCTTCTCGTAGTGGATCAACCAGTTTGTTGTTGACATTCAAAACTAGCTGTTCACATGATCAAAGAGGACCATCAGCCTAACAATGGATCGTTAACAACAAATGGTTGATCCACTATGACAGGGTGCTATTTATAAGACTGAGCTGAATACAGCTCCTCAGACTGAAGAAGTCTTTCGAATGAAAGACGAAATGTTTCTACAGTTTTTTGAACCCATCCAAAGGACCAGACTTAACATTTTTTAGATTCCTGTTTTTGTGTTGTGCGTCTTTGATTTTAAATTTCATCACTAAAAAACATAACCTCAGTGTCCCACAAACAGAAATGCCTGTGCCCCCATGAAGGTCATGGCATGCCATAAATTTATAAACATTGTACAAATTCACGCATTACCAATTCACTGCTTCTGGGTGAGATGCCAAAACAGATGCCTCCTGTTTGGACAGTAGGACTGACTGATAGGCTAAAATGTTTCTATTGACTATCATCAGTCCAACTACTGGTCATTGACAATATACACTGCCTGGCCCCCCAAAAAATGTTGCCACCAAAAAAAAAGGTCACACTAATATTTCGTTGGACTACCTATAGTTTTGATTACAGCATGCATTCGCTGAGGCGTTGTTTCGATAAGCTTCTGGAATGTCACAAGATCTATTTCCATCCAGTGTTGCATTAATTTTTCACCAAGATCTTGCATTGATGACTAGACACTAGACATGATGGGTGCATCACTTCACCTGCCTCTTCTTACCCTGATGCACCCATCACACTGGAACAGGGTAAATCTGGACTCATCAGACCACATGACCTTCTTCCATTGCTCCAGAGTTCAATCTTTATGCTCCCTAGCAAATCAAAACCTTTTTTTCCAGTTAGCCTCACCGATTAGTGGTTTTCTTAAGGCTACACAGCTGTTCAGTCCCAATCCCTTGAGTTCCCTTCACATTGTGCGTGTGGAAATGCTCTTACTTTCACTATAAAACATAGCCCTGAGTGCTGCTGTTGTTTTTCTTCTATTTGATTTCACCAAATGTTTAAGTGATCGCCAATCACGATCATTCAAGATTTTTTTCCGACCACATTTCTTCCTCAAAGACGATGGGTCCCCACTATCCTTCCAGTTTTTAATAATGCGTTGGACAGTTCTTAACCCAATTTTAGTAGTTCCTGCAATCTCCTTAGATGTTTTCTCTGCTTGATGCCAATGATTTGACCCTTCTCAAACAGACTGACATCTTTTCCACAACCACACGATGTGTCTTTCACCATGGTTGTTTAAGAAATGAGAAGCAACTCATTGCACCTGTTGGGGCTAAATAACTTGTTGCCAGCTGAAAGATAATCGCCCATGCAATAATTATCCAATAGGAGGCTCGGACCTATTTGCTTAGTTAAATCCAGGTGGCAACGTTTTTTTGGCCAGGCAGTGTATTTGAGCAAGCAACTTTAAGCCTTTTTATTTAAAGGAAGGGAAGACTGAGCAACCTCTGTACAACTGTGGAAGCCAGCTGATGATATTTATGGTGATAAATGTCCATGAGGACAAACTCTGTGGCATAGTGAAGCTTCCATTTGTCTGGTTCTGTCATGTTTCGCCTCTCTCTGCCACGCCCACCTCACCACAGCTCATCAGCACTCTTACCGTGCACCTGCCTCACACTCTATTCATGAGCCCCATCCACAATAAACCTCTGCCAGATTATCAAACCCTTCACGGTACTAATGTCCAGCGCTTCATTCACATTCTTGTCTGATTCTCTTGACTTGACCCCTTGCCCGTCTTTTGGATTTATCACCCTGACGGCTCCTCTTCTGATCTTGTTCTGCCCTTCTGATTCTGGTAATGACTATTCCTTCTGGCCTACTGATACTGGACTACGGATTGACCCCTGGATTTGTTTTTGGACCTCTGACTCCCCGTGCTTGACCCCTGCTTCGTCTTTCGGACCACAACCTTGGATTGCCCCACTATCCATATTAATCACAGCGTTCCTCTGCAGCTGTGCTCCCACCAGTTACGGTGATGTCATCTCTCCGAACTCCAGCAGGTGTAGCCCACCTCGTCTGCTTGAGAAGGTTAAATTTAAATGATACCAGAGTCCATTTTACACATTTAGCAAGAGAGGGGCAGGAAATTATGAGGGGTGGAGCGCTATAGCAGAACGATATCTGTTGAACTGTGGAGAAGTGTGCATATCGCAAGTGGGCCTTCACTACCAAACTTTGCACATTACTTCTCACATGTGCACACACACACACACACACATACACAAAGAAAACTGGTAGCAGCTGCAAATGCAAATTACTATTTAAAACAAAATATAAAGTAAAATGATTTGTGTCACTGATTCCCCTACCTCTCAAATGCAGAACCTTAGGGGAAACACTACAACCTATTTCCACTATGTTCCCGTTATGTCAGGGTGCACCCAATATCACGGATAAACTATAAATGGGTTCAAAAAAGTCTCGTTATCTCACAAAACCACTACTAGTGATGTTGATTAGCAACATGTGCATAATTTTAAAAGGGTTATTAAACATAGAAACTATACAGTAAGAAAGTAGCATTTAGCCTTAAATTTAAAAGAAGCAGTAGAGTCTAATATAGCTCAAACTCAAAATGTTGGCTACCTCAGATAGCTGACCAGAATGTGTGTTGAAAGTAGCTTGTACCTGTCCACCCAGCTGTTTCATAAGAGGCTGCAGTTCACTGAACAGGTCATAACCTTGATGGAAGAATGTCAGGTGGGCATACATGAAGGACAGCATCTGCAGAGACACAGGTCACGTTAACAGGCTCACAAGCTCGACATGTTCTACTTTTTAATGTGAGCAGAAGGTAGACTTACTGATTTCAAAATTTCCGATCTTTTCTTGGACTGTAGAACATTTATCTGGAAGCAACAAAGAAAGCTGTGAGAAGCAGGAACATATGCAGAAAACAAATGAACCAAGACAAAGCAGAATAAAAAAAAAAAATAATAAATAAATAAAAGACTTTACAGTCATACTAAGAAAATAAGGAAAAGACAAAAACAAGTTAGTTTTTTTTAGGCAGGGAAGGTTGATCTTTATTACGCTGTTTTCCTGAAAATTATCTTTTGAACACCAGGGGGAGCCCCATTTCTCACAATTCAAAACTGCAGTCAGAGGCTTTTTCATACATAATTTTTATTTTTGTGTGTGTGTAGTGGACTGTGCCACTTGTCAGGACCAGGGGGAGGTTATTCAAGTTTATTGTCTCATATGTTGGATATGTTGAGCTGAATGTTAAACAAAGACATTTACACTTGTTAAACGTTTTGACCCGAGTGGAACCAATATCCGTTTTAAGACAAAAGAGTCACTGTCTAGGGATGCTTGTGACTACTATAAACACTCAAGGGAAACTCTGAAACACTCGAGTCCAGGGACTTGCTTTCTTGTGGCCAAGAACACAGGGTCGCCACACTAATCCCTTTTTGTGGTCAACAGTAATTTCATGGTTCAAAGATGAGAGCGCTTGTATGTCTAAAAAGATCTTAACTCCTATTCTTGAAAGGAAGCTTATTTTTCCATCTGAAAGCCATGACAACTAACACATCACAACTTTTACAAGTCCCCATCCATCTTTTGATTACATGTAGTTAGTAGTTGTGACAGGAGCAGTGGCACCCAAGGATGACTATTTAGTTGGATGAATGCAACATGGAGTCAAGGCTACAGCCACAAGCTAAAGTTGTGGTCAATTAGTCACTAATTGGACATTTAGTTGTGGTAAAACCCTTGTTGTGGGTTGGAAAGGATGGAGCACATTATAGTTTTAAATATATTCTTTACAAAAGCTCAAATAGGTTCTAGTAAGGTTCTTAACTCTAAAAATACATGAATAAAAATATCTGGAACATATCACACTTCTTTCTTGTCAAAATGTTCTTACAGAAAACCCAACCCCTGTCCGTAAATCCACACAGCTTCTGCTTTTTTTTTTATGTTTTCAAATTTCAGGAAACGGTTTCCATGTTAAGGGTGAAAATTTATTGGTCATGTGACTGAACTGTAAAGGTTTATTGCTCTAGCTCTTTGTGGACTAACTGGTAAAAGTGGCATTATAATTTTTTAGAAAATGTCAAATCCAAGTATAGTTAACTTTTTGTAAACCACACACTGCATATTTAAACAAAAACGCCACAAAACAATTCAGGAAAGAACATAAAATAAGGCTAAAATCTGTTAAATGTTTCCTGAAAGTACAGCTGTAACTGTCGGCTGCTTTCTTTTTAAAGTGCTGACTGCTACTAAGCAAAACTTTAAAGGAGACCCACTTAAATCAGCTGAGCTAACGGCTAGTTTCAAGATTTCCTGTAAGTGTACTAAAAGGCGTGATAAAGTCTTGACTAATTCCTTCCAGTCAGGCTTCGTTTTATACGGGGGTGAATATGCAGTGGGCTGAAGCAGAATGTTGGGGGAGTTATTCAGTATCAGATTTTGGGGCTACACAGTGTTGTATGTTCTTCTGAGGAATGATTTAACAAAATCAGCTGGCGGCCACGTAATCTGAGCTGCTTTAGAGGATCCCAAACACAAATCTGACAGATTAATGTGTAAATACTTTTCAACGTAGATAAAAACAAAAGGTTTAAACACAATTAAAATATTATTGCAAAATAAAGGATTGGCTCCAAAAGTCATTAAAAAAGGCTATTCTATGTTTAAAAATGCTCGTTTTGCCTTGTGAAATGTCTGATGAAATGTGAAATGTGCCGACAGCTGAGACAAGAAAAGGCTTCAGTTGTTCTCTTGTACACTTCCACTTTTTTGTTTCCTCAACTTATTTTCCTTTAATTAGATTTTTTTAGTCACGATCCTTACCAAACATGATGCTGCTCAGAGATAATATGACAGTGTTGCATTTTATATCCGTCAGTGTAGGCGCCCATGTGAGGATTAATGATGTGCAAATTATTTGGCATCAAAATTAGCAGGCGAGAATACACGTTGAATTTTCTAAATGAATATGACTGTGCTTTGCCTAAAGCCCTCAATTGGTTTATGAAGTAATCTATAGATGTTTTATATCATAACAGTTTAATAACATGACCTTTTTTCGATTCCTGGTAATTTTTAATTCATTCAACCTTTATTTATACTGGTTAAACAAAAGGTTAATGAAAAATACAAAGTATAAAAAGAAACAGTATATAAGGATCTAAGATATGCACTAAGATATTCACTAAACAATATGCTAAAACAGCTAGGATATTTGCTAAATAATACGATAAAAGAGCTAAGATATTCGCTAAACAATACAATAAAAGATCTAATATTGTCGCAAAACAATATGATAAAAGATCTAAGATATACGCTAAACAATATGCTCAAATATCTAGGATAAGCGCTAAACAATAAGCTAAACTGTCTAAGATATAAGCTAAACAACATGCTAAAAGATCTAAGATATACGCTAAAATATCTAAGATATACACTAAACATAAAGCTAAAAGACCCAAGACATACACTAAAACATCTAAGATATATGCTAAACTATAAGCTAAAAGACCTAAGATTTATGTTAAAAAATCCAAGATATATGCTAAACAATATGCTAAAAGATCTAAGATATACGCTAAAAGATCAAAGATATACACTAAACAATGTGCTAAAAGATCTAAGATATATGCTAAAATATCTAAGATATACACTAAACATAAAGCTAAAAGACCCAAGATATACACTAAAAGATCTAAGATATACGCTAAAAAATACGCTAAAAGATCTAAGATATACGCTAAAGAATACGTTAAAACCTAAGTCACTAAAAGGAGGACTCTGGTACGGATCCGGATCAAAATGATGTCTCATGCAGACCCTACCCTATAAAAGGCAGTTTACACAGCGCATATTTCGAGTGAATCCACACCTTTCTCTCTGCAGTTCAGCTGTTTATTTACAAGACCTAACATATACGCTAAAAGATCGAAGATATACGCTAAATAATACGTTTAAAGGTCTAAGATATACACTAAAAGATCGAAGATAAATGCTAAAAGATCTAAGATATACGCTAAACAATACACTCAAAGACCTAAGATAAACGCTAAATAATAGGCTAAAAGATCTAAGCTATACGATAAACAATACGCTAAAAGATCTAAGATATATGCTAAACAATACGCTAAAAGATCTAAGATATATGCTAAACAATACGCTAAAAGATCTAAGATATACGCTAAAAGATCTAAGATATAAACTAAACAATACACTCAAAGATCTAAGATATACGCTAAAAGATCTTCTAAGATATACGCTAAAAGATCTAAGATATACGCTAAATAATACGCTAAAAGATCTAAGATATACACTAAACAATACACTCAAAGATCTAAGATATACGCTAAAAGATCTAAGATATA